GGAAAATTTAATATTTCTAATAACTATTTGATTAATTAAATTTTTGAACTTTTCTCATTAGACGGTTCATCTGCACACTAGTCACAAAGTACTAGTGTTTAAAAAATATGTAAGCTATACGTACATATTATTTACACGCATATATTACATACAATTTACGAACAAATTCAATTAAAAACAACATGGAATTAGACTGTTAGTGTTAAAATAATTTTCGATGGTTTTCGAAAAATATGGAAAAAAAATCACAAGTCCGAAAATATTACCTCCATAGAAAAGTTTACAAATTTCGCTCGGTACGAAAAAAGTAACGCTCGAACATTTTCACTGCCTTGCGGAAAGACCTGAACGCCCTATAACATGTTTTCACATCAATAAATATAGGTCCCTATGTACTTTTGATTAAAAAAGTATAAACAAATTCAACCACGATAGGTATTGGTTATTGGAACTGAACTACTGAATAGACAAAACGTTGGATCATGGCGTGTTTACTTTATTGCTCAGCAAACAATAATTTTGAATTTCTCTGTTATCAAAGTTCCCAACGTTTACCGCTGTAGAATTTCCTAGCGGTAACCGAAAATTTTGGTTACGGTTTCAAGCCCTGAACCATGTTTATTGTTTATAGTGTTCATGAGACGCGTAAACACGTTGCGATATACCAAGTGTCAGTTACCTACTTAGTATCAACGGAAAACTCCCTCGTGCACTACCAACGCGCGATTACGGACGATGTACGACATGTTCGTAGTTGAGCGCCTGTGCATGTACTCAAATATTAATATTGCATGTATGGGTACAATACATTTTAAGTTAACTGTTCACGTTAGTTGTCAACGATGAACTAATAGGTACTAATGTGACGCTCTCGCCGGCACTATGTTCGATGTCCGTGATGGTAATGAGCCACGCTACTTTAGCACAAGTCGGCCTATCGTTACGTCGCACCGATTCTCCACCAATCAGCAAGTCAGTAGCGCTAGCGTTACGCAAAAAGGATAAAACTCGAATAACGCTCGAAAAATTTCACTGCCCCAGTGGAAAAGTCTAAACGCCCATAACATGTTTTCACATCAACAATCATGCTGTTTAATCATTCGTACATCGTATTTATTTATCTTAATAGTTAAAAACTCTTTGCACTTAAAATTCTGGATCATTAGCCGGATCTCTTCAGTATGGTCACTCCCCATCTACAAAATTTACTAAGACAATTATTGTCATTGATAAATTAGGTGATCAACGTTTTATTAGACATAAAGTACTTTTATTTACAAACAATTTACAAATAATATAAAATATACACACTAACACACTGACAAACCGTCACCGCTCGGAATCGTTTTTCGTATACAATGATATTAAATCATTGAATTCAAATTGTATACCATCCATTATAAGTGACCCACTACTTGTAAAATACTGTACAGTAGAATGACATCCACTTACACAGTTACACGCTTTTTTTCCTATAAATGTCAATGCAATTTTATTCGTTGGGTCAAATCGCTTGGAAATTTAAATTAAGGCTCCTAATATATTATTACGATGGTATTTGAAAAATATTTAAAAAAAATAATCACAATTTTTTTTATAAGCATTTAAATTACCTACGAATTTTGACAAAATACGTAAAAAGGTGCAAATTATTTTAGTTAGAAATTCATAAAAATTTTGTTTTTTAAATCTAAGATTTGAAAATTTAATACTAGATTCCTCATAAGTTTGTCTACCTTTAAAAATTATCAAAAACAAAAAAAAATGTCAACCAGAAAGTCAAATTAAATATTTATGAGAGTTTGAAGTTTAAATTTTTACAACATTGGATTCACTCAATTTCTCATGTAGCGATTTTCTTATTTTGTTGCAAATCAAAAACTAATAACCATAGACACTTGAAATGTACACCACATGTCTATTTTATCAATTCATATGCTTATTAAATTTTTAAAATATTTTAACTTCTTTTGAAATCATTGAATTCAAATGTAATACCATCCTCCAGTACAGTGACTCACTTCTAACCTATTATACAGCAGAGCGACACCTACACTTACAAGCGTTTTATAACTATTATTCGCATTCCAACATTGGCTTGAGTCGCTATGTATATATTTTTTTTTTTATTAGTATTGCGTTGTATGTACACAAATATATTATAAACATTAAACATTAAACAGTGTGTGTGCAGAAATATGTATACAGGAATAGGCAGTTGCTGCTGGCCAGCTGAACTCCACAAAACTGTGAGTTAAATTATATTATTATTTATATATTTATTAGTTGTGTGAACCGACTTGTCGTACTTAAATTATTATTTCATACCATTTCAAATACCGAGCTGATTTTATTAACATGTATACCTATTGGACCAGAAGGGTTTAATTTAAGCCGTCCATTAAGTAGGTACATATACAATATTAAAAAAATAGAAAAAGGAACATATGTATTATATTAAATATATATACAAGTGTATTACAATTTATAATTCAAACCAATAAGTTTGAACAAATTGAAAATATTAGCAGTGTTGTTACCATTTTATTTCCGCATAGTTATAAGTACACGCAATCATACACAAACACATATAGACACCTACACATCCATCACACTCTTTAGACTTGCTCGGCGGCCGCGTCCACTTTTTTAGAGTCGCTATACGAATATACATATTATAATATACTAGTGTTGGCCAACGATATCGATAATTCGATACGATATTGATATCGTAGGTTTTTTCTTAATAATTTCGATATCGATATCTAAAAATAATTATCGAAAATATCGCGAAATCGGTGTGATTAATCGGGGCTCGGAATTTTGCGGTTTTACGGATGATTAAACACTAAACTGAGTAAACAGTATAAAATAAAATAATATTTTATTATATCTGTAAAAGTAGATTAACGTAGATTAACGTAGATTATGATACGAGGCGATATTAATATGTTCCAAAGAAATAACTCACCACACCAAACAATTTAATCTAAATTCAGTACCGGTTGTTAACTCGCGGTGAGACGTCGTGTTTTTTTTCGTAATTATTCCTACGATGAAACAACTTGAAGAGTATAAAAATTTGAAAATCAAATTTCCCTACGATCAAGATCCTTTAAATTGGTGGAAAGAAAACGAATCTAAATACTCACCTGTATCATTACTAGCCAAAAAATACTTAAGTATAGTGGCCACTAGTGTTCCCTGTGAACGGTTATTTAGCGAAACTGGAACAATCATTTCCAAGAAAATAAATTGATTATCTCCTGAGCGACTCAATCAACTGTTATTTTTGATTTCATATTTCAAATCGAACCCAAGTTCTGAAACATTGATGGAAAAACTGCTCGAAGAAGACATTTGTTGATTAAATACATTGGATACTTTTCAGTTTGTACAAAATAATATATAATTGTTAATTAATTTTCACTCATAATATATTAAAACAATATGTATTCTATACTTTTAATATACTTTCAATACACTCATAATAATATAATATGTATTCTATACTTTTAATGTTTTAATATGCTTCGATATCGATATTGGTATTTTTCCGATATCGCAATAAGATATCGGGGAAAAAAATACGATATCGATATTGAAAATTATATCGTTGGCCATCACTATAATATACACACAATTTACATAGGTAGGTCGGCGAGTGAGTGTTAAGTGTTAACACTGTTAGCTGTACGAAGTAATTCGGTTACCTGGCACACTGACCATTAATTCCCTGCCCAAGTACCAGCTGCTGTACAATATTCACATGCAGATAGTCCTAACCCTAAGGCTATTAAAACGAGTATTGCGAGTTATATAATAATAATATTATACGTATAGATTATAATGTGAACAACCAGATATAAGTATCTGGTACCTACTACCTATATAGCGTTATCGCATGTCGTGGCTTATATATTTTTTCACGGCCACCGTATAATTTTGTCTCGACTCTCGACGTACGACGTACCTATGCCTTACGTTGTCGGCGTGTATTAATTGTATTAAATATTTTGTTTTATTTACTCAAATAGACAATAGTAAAAGCATATTTTTTTTTTATCAATGTCAGTCTTGCGAGATTATCGATATTAGATTAATAATTGTTAAATTAAATTGTGGACGCGAACACCACCATTTTCTGATCATTTTCTTATCGCCCCCAAATATTATTATTATATTAGGTATATGTACCTATTATTATTGTTTTTTCGGTGCTATCTGGTGGTTCTGCCAGTGTTAGTCATAATAGGGCCATATATATATATATTACATTTTATTATTCATACCTTTGTGGCTTTGTCGTGTATTATTTATAATATAATTATATTATTATAGCTATAGCCTATAGGATACCAGTCTGCGCTCCACAAATTGTGAGTTTTTTTATTATTATTAATTTCATATACATATATAAATTGTTGAGACAGAAGGGCCACATATTATTTTTGTAGAAGCTACAGCCTACAGCTCAAATGGCTGCGTATATATTTTTATTCAGTTAGGCCAGAAAGGCGGCGTACTATATTATCATAATATTCATAATGTATTATTCCTTGTCGGGCTACTATAGACATTTTATTTAATATTGCTATTAAAAGCCAAAAGAGCTATAAAGAAAGATTGTGTGTGTTACTGTATTCTATTAAATATTGCAGTGATTTTTTTCGTTATTGTGTTTTATTTAAATTAATTTTGTTATGCAGAAACTTATTATTACCAGAAAACGTGTTACCATTTTATTCATATATCTTATATAGGCACTCACACAAATACTCTTAAATTCACATTTGTACAACACGCATCACGCATTACGTAGGTATAGTTCGATAGTATTACGGGGTGTGTTCAGATAGTACACATCATACTACTTATAATGTTATAATACATGCAGGCTAATACACCACCGTACCTAATTTATGGGTTCAACTGTTCAAAGATTTATGATGAAATATAATATTTAATATTATAATAGGTATATCATGACGTATAGTTACCGGTTCTGTCGAAACTGAGGATCGTTCGACCATCGTGAACGCCTTCGAAGTTCGAATCAGTTTTATTTAAAAAGAATAATGACTATAGGTAACGTTTTGAAATTTAATTTTGTGCTTATGAAAAATTATACTATATATTATGTACTATGTAGCCTTAATAATAGCCGTAATAATGTAGCAGAGTCTACGTAAATTCTCACACAAGGTGGCAGGCCGACTGCCGACTGCCAGAACACGCGGACTCGCGGTTCCGAGCATTCCCGTAGTTGCCTGCACGAGTCACGACCAGTGCTGTTATAATAGATAGCCAGATAGGTTAGGTTTTAGGACCGGTCTTATTTAAATTCTGGTTTCTTCAAAGAGTGGTGGTCGCAAGGATGACATCAAAGGTAGTATACGTTACATAATTTTGATTTTAATTTATTTTAATTTATTTATCTATATACTAATATATAAAACTGTAGAGTTTGTTTGTTTGAAAGCGCTAATTTCAGGAACTACTGGTTCGAGTTAAAAAATTATTTTTTTGTTGGATAGTGCATTCATCGAGGAAGGTTATAGGCCATATAACTTCACGATACGACAAATTAATAGAAGGCTGGGGAAGTGCTCAAACAAGAATTACGATGGAAATGCTTGTTTATAAATGGTTGCTATTGGTTGTAGGAGAAATAATTAATAGAAATAATATTTATTTATTATTGGTTGCCATTGGTTAATCGGGCAGATCTTGTACAAGCATGCATCAAATCGAATTTTAGCATCATTGCCTACCAGGGTGGCTGTGTGGCACTTATTGCAGTGAGTTACACCCGCAAAAAGAGTTGAACAATCACATTTTTTTTAAGGGTTGTCATTTTCTTCGGGCCATGAAGTGCGCAGGACCAGCTAGTATTATAATATATCTTACTAACCGACCCGTCACAGCTTCGCCCATGATTGGTTGTTTATTTTGCTTTCGGACGATGATATGTATAATTTTTTATTACAATTTTATCGTTTAATGAAACTTATTCAAATGTTTCTAATGGTATTAATGGTAAATATATTTTTATATCAGAACCCGTTCACTTCATTGCCCGTAAAAAATCGCAAATCTTAAAAATGTATGATTGTTCACTACTTTTGGGTGTAACTTGCTGCAGCCTGCAATAAGTGCAACTCAGCCACCCTGGTAGGCAATCCGACTACTTGGGCAACTTTTTCACCAATCACCTTGGTAAGCAATGTTCAATAATTCGATTAGATGCAAGCTTGTACCTGATCTTCCCAAATAAGCAATGGCAACCGATAATAAATAAACACTAATTGATGGGAACTATTAGTAATTAAAAATAACATTTTCAATATGAACCTCAAAGTCCCTGTTTGAGCACCTCTTTAAAATGCGAATTTCGCCAAATCCTTTCTTATTGCACGGTGAAAGTATTAGAAGAACCTCTATTCTAAATTTCAAGTTCGTACATTGAGTAGTTTTTGAGATACGGCGATCAGTGAGTCAGTGGTATTTGGATTTTAGGTATATAATATAATATAGATTCCCTTTTCCTTCCCCTCCGATAAAAAAATAAAAATTTGGCTACACGGCGACACTCAGGAAGGTATTTGGAACAAATCTGTGAATAAAAATTGATAAAATATTATATAGTGTAGTCACAAAATTGGAACATAAAAAATTCCTGTTCTTTTATATATATATATATATAAGAATTAGATTAGATTAATTTTTCAAGAACTTTATACTTATTTTTCACTAACAAAAGTGGTACTAAAACCTTCAGCAGACTGTCAGATATAAACGTAAACAATTTCAGTCAAATCGATTCTGTAGTTTTCTCGGTTAGCGCGGTTGAAGAAAACCCTTACAATTTTACATAATAGTATAGATAACATAGCAACCAATATATCAGGGGTGGTCAAACTTGTTTTGATTAAGATGTACTGAGGGTATATTTTTTCTTTTAGGATCGACTAATGTAAAAAAATTATTTAATATTAATATTAACATACTTATATAAATAATAAAATTAAAGTGTTAAGTTATCTAAAATGAGTGTTTCATGTTAAATTTTTAGGTAATTTTAAAATGTATTAACATTTTATTGTTGATGTAGAAGCGTGTCATTGCACATCATGACCAAGCGAAGACGCTGTGCTAAAGCCTAAAACTAACTTACTCAGCTTCTATAAATTATAACTTTCATGTGAGAAAATGCCATTTCACACTAACAGGTTAATCTGAAACATATGTATTTAATAAGTGTATCTACTAAATTGCAAATATATAAGAATAATTAATAAATTCTAACAATGGGGATCGACTTAGAAATCGTCGAAGATCGACTGTTTGGCCAACCCCTGCAATATATTATAATACACTATTATTATTTTAATCTGTAACAATAAACTTTATTTTTCATTTTATATTCGTTTATTTTTTTCTGGACAGATTGAGCCACTATTGTATTTTTGACATTCATATTTCCTACTTTTCTGGTGGATTTATCTAAACAAAAGTGGTACTATGGTCTATGACCTCCAGCAGACTGTCAATTATAAAAGTAAAAAATTTCAGGCAAATCGGTTCTGTAGTTTTCTCGGTTAGCGCGGTCCAAGAAAACCCTACCATTTTATTTAATAGTATAGATATAGATATTGTTTAAATAAGAATAATTTTTCATATAGTTATACAAAATACCACTTTATTAAAATCTTAATTATTCTCAATAAATATTATAATATTCAAATAATGGATATTTTAGTAGTATATCTTCTCAGCCATTAACATGTAAAACATATATAATAGTATGTTATGAGCAAAGTAGGAAATGCACAATGCCCGAACATTTCGGGCAATGGAAGAATGATAATTTTAGTACTCAAACTGTTCATAATATATTGGACGGGCATTGTACGAGATTACCCGGGCAAAGTGTACTCCAAAATGAATTAAATACTGCAGGACGCTGCGTAAATTTATATCGAGTAGTATTTATACGTAACAATTAACAATAACACTACAAATGTATTCTTTTATATTTTATTCGTTTGATACTTAATATATACTCCGTTGCAGCACGAGAGAAGGAACTCGTTTCGTGACGTAACTGCCGGCGTTTAACGACTTGCAGGGTCACTATATATTTCCCCTTATCAGACATACTTTGTAGTTGCATGTAGCACAGAATAAAATAAAATGTGGTTGTAGTGCTATACTACACTGCACCCGGAATGTTTGAGTGAAGCAAACAGGTCGTTAAAAGACCATGAGTAACATCGCGAAACGAGTCGCTCCTCTCGTGGAACGCAATGTAGTTACGTGATACATAATATATAGGTACATATTATATTATCTACGCAGCTAAGTGTATATTTGTCTTAAAACTATGGGGATATAATATTATGTTTAACAGTTGAGAGAGTTTATGTAATATTTTTTTTTTTTACATTGAACTACCTAACCTAAGTTTGGGAAAAAATTGTGAATATTGTTGGAGAATATTATTTCAAGGATAACCACCTTTTCAAAGTGGAAGATTCACACACACACACACACACATACATAAAATCAGCGGAAAAACAGCCCACGGAAAAAAAGGACAAGGAAAAAAGCCCAGAAATAGAAATAGAAATGTGAACACAAGTATACTCTACTCCTAATGACCTAATTAGTAATTACCATATACCTATAACAAAATATAATTATTAATTATATATTACATATTATAATGAAATTAATAATTAATTTTTAACTGTATAAAATATAGATTGTAAATCAAATAAAAATATAAATATGAACACAATATTATGTATACGTCATGATTTATTGTGTTATAAGTTATGAGTCAAAAAACATCAGTCTTAGGTATATACATAGTACAATAATTTATAAATCAAAAAACGTAAACCTTATACTAAAATGTATACAAAAATTACAAAACCGGAGGTAATTTAATATATTTAGAGAGCAGATAATAATCATAAACGTCAGTCAATATATATATATAATATGTATATATAAAAATATAAATGTGAACACATGTATACTGTACTCCTAATTAAAAAATTCAAAAATATGTACATAATATATAATTAGTATTTAATTTTAGATTCTGAGTGAAACGATGAATGTATTGATTTTACAATGATGTGTGTTTTTTTTTTTATTTTTTTTTTATTTTTGTGTCTGTCATCACGTTTTAGGACAGTAAAAGTGCTTGGATTTTCTCCAACATTAGCTTTTCTGATAGGAAAGTGAATCTAGTTGGTTACTTGGAGGGTCAAAAGTGAAAATTTCCCAGTAGTTTTCAAAAGCGGCATGAAAAACAAAATAAAAATTAAGGAAATACGGGAATTTTTACACTAAAATCTGTTTTCGAAAAAATCGATTTTGGTTTTTTGTGCAACCCTTAAACAAATTACCGTAAGTACATGAAACTTTGACTGAATGTTTATATTAGCATTTTCTATACACGATAACATTTTCAAAATGTTTTGATTTATTTTGAACTGTTTAGGCACATTTTCATTTTCCATTTTTTTTTAGTTATTTTTCTAAAAATATCAATAAAATTTTATTTGTTGGTTAAAAAAGATAGAAAATCTAATAAAAGGCTCCTAGTATATTGTTTCAAAGGCAGATGAAAAATATATTAAAAATCCTTCGTCACAATTTTTTTTATAACCATTTAAAGTTCAAAAATTGACAAAATATGGAAAAATCACGAAAATTAGCAAATTATTTTGAGTTTAGAATTCGTAAAAATGTTTCTTTTTAAATCTAAGATTTGAAAATCTAATACAAGATTACTCATAAGTTTGTCTACCTTTATCAATAAAAAAATATTTACCGGAAAGTCAAATTTAATTTTCATGAGCGTTTGAAATTCAAATTTTTACAACATTGGATATTCACTCGATTTCTCATGTAGCGATTTCCTTATTTTGTTGTAATTCAAAATCGAATAACTGTAGATACATGAAAATTTCACTGAATGTTCAGATTAGTATTTCCTATACACTATAGAACTTTGAAAAATATTTTGACTCTTTTTGAGCCGTTTACGGACATTTGCAGTTTTAAATTTTTGAACCAAACAAATTCCAACTCAAACATAAGCTAGTAATCAAGATAAAGAAATAAGTTAAACCTATATTATATACATTTAATTTGTACCTACCTAGCGTTTCCACAATATAATTTGAAAGCGGTGATTGAAAATCTGAAATCCATAAAGCAAAATTTTTCGAAATTGTAATTTGTGAAAAATAATTATTATATCATACCTACCTCTCATAAACTTCCCAGCTTGTTAACAAATAATTCCTTCGTTGTTTAAAATTTTGAAATCATACATTTAAATTTTAAAGTGTAATATGACACACAAATATTTTATTCAAAAATTTACGAATTACAAAATGCAATCATAATTTATTGTGACAATAAAGAATAACAACATCAAAAATGTCGCTCTGCTGTACGGTAGGTTACAAGAGGGTCACAGTTTAAAGGATGGTGTTAAATTTGAATTCAATGATATAATATCATTGTATAAGAAAAACGATTCTGAGAGAAAACGGTCAGTCAGCCTATGATATTACGAAGTATATTTGATGATATTAAGGTGAATAAAGTAATTTATATATTTAACCTATTTACATGGAATATTGTTTTAAATTTTCAATCCTTAGCTATAAAAGTTGAACATTTTATAAATTTTTAACTACAAAATTATTATTGAATTTTAAATGTGATATATTTTGTCAAAATTTGAACTTTAAATACTTATAAAAAAAATTGTGCGGATGTGTTTTTTAATATTTTTCAACTGCTAACGTAAAAATATATCAGGAGCCTTGGATTAAATTTTCACACTTGTTTACCCAACTAATAAAATTTTATTGATATTTATAGAAAAAAAAACTAACAAAAAATTGAAAGCTGTAAATGTCCGTAAACAGCTCAAAAAGAGTCAAAATATTTTCAAAATTGTATGGTGTATAGGAAATGCTAATATAAACATTCAGTGAAATTTTCATGTATTTATAGTTATTCGTTTTTGAATTACAACAAAAAAAGAAAATCGCTACATGAGAAATCGAGTGAATATCCAATGTTGTAAAAATTTGAATTTCAAACGCTCATAAAAATTTAATTTGACTGTCCGGTAGAGATTTTTTTATTGGTAAATGTAGAAAAACTTATGAGTAATTTTGTATTACATTTTCAAATCTTAGATTTAAAAAGAAAAATTTTTACGAATTCTTAACTCAAAATAATTTGCTAATTTTCGTGATTTTTCCATATTTTGTCAATTTTTGAACTTTAAATGCTTATAAAAAAAAATTGTGACTAAGGATTTTTAATATTTTTCATCTGCTTTTGAAACAATATACTATTAGCCTTCTATTAAATTTTCGAGCTTTCGCAACCAACAAATAAAATTTTATTGATATTTTTAGAAAAAAAACTAAAAAAAAATGGAAAATGAAAATGTCCCTAAACAGTTCAAAATAAATCAAAATATTTTGAAAATGTTATTGTGTATAGAAAATGCAAATATAAACAACCAGTGAAAATTTCATGTATCTACGGTCATTTGTTTTAAAGTTACACCAAAAACCAAATTCAATTTTCTGAAAAATCGATTTTGCGTAAAAATTCCCGTTTTTCCTTAATTTTCTTTTGTTTTTCTTGGCGCTTTTGAAAAGTACTAGGAATTTTAAATTTTGACCTCCTCAATGCACCAACGATATTCACTTTTCAATCGAACAAGATACTGAAGTCGAAAATCGAATCATTATTTCGACTACTTATCGTGTACACAGACACAAAAAAAAAAATAATAAAAAAAATAAAAAAAAAATATAAAAACACACATCATTGTAAAATCAATACATTCATCGTTCCACTCAGAATCTAAAACGGGTATTTTTGATCATGAAATAATTTTAATTTTTAACGCTATTTTTGTTTGTGATACAAACATGACGTGTTTTCTCTGTTCAAGTGCGTATACAATGTCAAATTTTCCACTCAACAGAACACGTGTAGCTCCGTAATTATAAAAATTAGAGTGAATTGACCTTTTATAAAATTTAAAGGTAAGAATATTATCTAGGCAACCTCATTGGCAATTTATTATATTTTAATTTTGAAGTGAGTAGTGAGTATTTTAAAATTGTAAATTGTTTGTACATCATAAAATACTAGTCAGAACTCGCTTTAAAATTAAAATATAATAAAAAGCCATGACGTTGCCTAGATAATAATCTTACTTATAAATGTGATAAGAGCTCCATTTACTATATTTTTTAAACTAACGGAGCTAAACGTGATCTATTGAACGTACAATTTGCTATGCTACACACTTGTAAGACGGAGACAACATATGCGGGTACCACGTCCTCTTAAACATATAATTAAAATTTAACGAATGTAGTAGGTAGATAGGAAAATACGCCAAAATCCCAAATTGAAATATTTCCCCATTTTTCTGACTTTAATATTTTATCTGTAGGGAATATTAAATTGGTGGATTTAACGTTAGAACAACTGAATAACCGCCATGTATGTAATTTACATTTTAAACCCAAGGATTTTAATAATATTGAAACACAACAAAGACTAAAACAAAAAGCAGTTCCAATAAAGTACGATTTTACTGAATTACCAGTTAATGTGGAACAATACATTCCAATTTCATCTTTTAACGAATTTAAAGACTGCGAATCACCAAATTTACACGTTAAAACTCCAACCAAAATGTACAAAAAAAAATGTCCAAGAACACCTATCGAATCTCCTCATCTTCCAGCTACATTAAATGCATCACCGTCTTCGCCAATTTTAACTTATGAATGTTCTCCGTCAACAAGTTCTATGATCAAATCATTTATAGATATGCCTTCACCAATTAGTACTCAAGAACGTCGAATAAACAAGGCAAAAACAGTTCTCTTTCCTATCGAACAAAGCCCAAAAAAGTCAAAAAAACATCTTGAAGACTTAATTCGAAAAAAAAATATACTGTTAAAAAATAAAATACAAGTTTCTCGTAATAAATATAATTTACATACTTTTAAAAATAATATTACATTTTCAAGTTTTGGATCAAAAGTCATAGCAGAAATGCAAATGTTTCATAAACGTAATTTAAGGAAACCCTGGACACTAGCTGAAAAAAATTTTGCTATAAATTTATACTATAAATCACCTGCTACATACAAATTTCTTAGAAATAACCAACAAATAATTTTACCAGGTGAAACTACGTTGCGTAGGTGGATAGGGAAGTCTTAATTTTGTCCCGGTTTTAATTCACTCTGGTTAAAGAAAATTAAAAATAAGTTGGAAACAATGTCAGATGAAGAAAAACAATGTGTTTTAATATTTGATGAAATGAAAATAAAATCTTTTTTAGAATATTCTAAGTATTTAGATATGGTTGAAGGGTTTGAAGATTTAGGACACAAAGGTAGAACGAATAAATTGGCTACGCAGGCCATGGTTTTTGTTGTTCGAGGACTTTATAGTAATTGGAAATTACCATTGGCTTGTTTATCGGGTTCATCAATGAGTAGTTCAATATTAAAAGATTTAATTGTAGATGTAGGTAATCGAAAAATGTACAGATCTGGGTTTTAATATTGTGGCTCTCGTTTGTGATCAAGGCTCCAATAATTATTCAGCTCTAAAACACTTAGGTTGTTGCAAAGAAAAACCATTTGTTGAAATTAAAGGTAAAACTATTTATTCTATTTTTGATGTACCGCATATTTTCAAAAATTTCAGAAACAATTTTTTGAAATATAATTTCAAATATAAAGGTCAAGAAGTATCTTTTTCAGATATTAAGTTGGCTTATAATATTGATAAAACAAGTAATACTAGTAGAGACCTTTTAAAACTAACTGACAGTCATATGAACCCAAATCCGTTTCAAAAAATGAATTGTAAACTTGCTCTTCAAGTCTTTAGTAATTCAGTAGCAGCTGTTTTAAAAACATGCATTGCTACAGGTCAAATAAAATCAAAAACTGCCGCCGCAACCGCTGATTTTGTTCAAGAATTAAATAATTTATTCGACTGCCTAAATAGCAAAGCATTATACAGTTCCAACATATACTCTTGTGCTTTAAATTACGACAAACCTTATAATATACTTATTTGTTTAATGAAAGCTAAAGAATGGTGTACACAGCTGGAGTTAATACAACCTATAAAAGTGTATGGTAAAGTTCTTCCGTGTTTCGACGCCATGATATGGAGCATAAACGCAATCATAATGATTTATAGACAGCAAAAAAATTTAGGTTTTAAATATCTTCTTACTAGCCGTTTAAACCAAGATATCATAGAAAATACTTTATCGGTTTTTCGACAGCGTGGAGGTTTCAATAGAAACCCGACTGCTCGTACCTTTAGAACATCATTTCGGTTTCAAGCAAAACATAATCTAATGAAAGCCACTGAGTCATCAAATTGTGAAAATGATTTTGATTACAATTTATTTGATCCTGGTTCACAGAACGCAACGATTTCTACACCTAACACAGATATAGATACTTTAGTTGAATCAGTTTCAGACTCATTTGTATCTTCGGAAGAGGAGGGTGATTTCAATCAATGTCTCAATAATAAAGAAGAACAAATAACATTAGAAACCTGTTCAAATACATACTTTGCTGGATATTTGGCAAAAAATGTATAGATCAATTTAAATGCACTAAATGTGAATTAATAATTTTAAAAAGTAACGATTTTTTGTTTGATGACCAAGAGTATTTAATTTTTTACAAACAATTTGAAAGTGCCGATATTGAAAGAAGTAGTCTCAAAAAGCCTTCTGATTTATTTATAAACTTTGTTTCTACAGCACAAAAGTGTTTAAAAGATTTTGTAGAACTAAATCCTCATAAAAGAAAATTGTGTGCAACCATCCAACTAAAAATAAAAAATGAATTGATTTCTGATTTAAATTTTGATCCAAACTGTGATCAACATATTGATTTTATTATCCAAAAATTAATAATTTGTAAATTATTAAGGCATTTTAATTGATCTAAACATTTGAAAGGACGTTCTAGTGTACAAACAGTGAATAAATTAAAAATTTTGAAAAATGTTTAAGCTTAACATAATATTATGTAAGAACCTAATTTATTAGTTGGCATATAAATAGGTATGTTGTAATAAAATGGTGTTGCCCGGTGTTGGTGCATATTATATATGTACGTATTAATTGTATTATTTTTTTTAGTTCTGATAGGTTAGGTTTTCTTTTATTTTGCAGTGTTAAAATTGTATGGTTTTACGATGTATTATTTTTCTTTATTTAACTTTGTAAAAAAATATTTACCTAGGTATACGTATGGTTAAAATATTTTATGAGAAAAAATAATATTTGATTTGTACAATTGTTTGGTAATTGTTAATTATTATTAATATTGTCCTTAGAACTTTTTATAAAGATTTTAATATAAAGATATTTTAAACAATTTTTACTGTATTTTATAAAATGTAAAATATTATATTAACTTTTAAGTTATATAACTATACCTTTTATTATACTTATACAATTATAAAGGAATTTTTTTTTACTACAACAATAATTTTAAGATTTTATAATTGTGTAACATTTTTACTTGTTTTATAAAATAAAATTAGGTACTCTCATTACCCCTTTTATGAAAAAAATAATAATGTTGTTTTGGATTTTAACAACTAACTAGGTAAGTACTTAATAAAGATAAATTATAAATCTGTAGGTAATTGCAGAATATTGTATTATTATAATACCTATTACCTATAATATTTGTATTTTAATATCTGTGGTCACTTGTTAAAGTCTATCGATGTATATGTTACAAAGAATACATAGAAATTAATTTGTTTATAATTATAAATAATATTTTAATAATATTATGTTAGTTGCCGCCGTTCACGTACCTATAACGTATCATAGATGACAGTCGCACAACGCGCAAGTATATTGCTTTTTCAAGTGTTTCAACTCGGCGCACGGCTTTGACGTCAGCGCATGCTCAAAATCTATAATACTTTAGCGATCCTATGGGCGTCCATTAGTACTACTCTGCCGGGGTCCAAAACGTGTGCATATCTGGTTGCCGCGTTATTCCATGGAGTGGGCTATCTATAGTATATTTAATCTATGATATTAGTCACTAAACATTATAAAAATAATGAATACAATTTTAAAAAATTTCAGAATCTGTGGAACATCATTAATATAGGCCATTATGGTTTAAATGTTAAACTGTGTCATTATTATTATTATTATTATTATATTTAAATTTAAACTATTTATTGTAAATCTATATATTAAATTCTATAATTATTAATTATGTATATTTTACACTGGTATGTCTGTACCATACTGTATATTTAAAATAAAAAGTTAAAAATATAAAAGTTCTTTGAACAATTTTGAATTGGAATCTAAATATAAATTCTTATGTAATTATATTTATTACAATAATTAGATAGAAAATACATTTATTATAAACTACAAAGATACAAATTAACTTAATTTAAATTTATAGTATTTTTATAAACAATAGTTTGATTCTTACAATCTTAACAATAATTTAATGTTTCATTCCTCGCAATCATAATTAATTTCAAAAATGATAAAATTATTATTAAAATTAATCATTATTCAGTTGTGTAATTTCATCTATCTGAAACTGGTAATGACGAAATATATGTATGAACGGAAGAAAACATAATTGAGTAGTCCACGTTATACATTGATATCCTAGTTTATCTGGAACTTGAAAACCCTCTTTTGCTGACTATAAGAAACAAAAAATACATTTAATTGTAATTCTTGTAAACATATATTTTTAAGTAACTGTAACATAGGTATTGCAAATTAAATGTTATTTATTTATTATGATACCGTTTTGGAGGGTAAACAGTTATTTAACTAACATAGTATACATATGTGTGTAGTTTGTATAATGTATTATGTGCCAAGTTGAGGTAATTTCTGACCTATAGACTTTAACGATACTGGATGAAACTTTGGGATGTGATTTTTAATAAATTGATGTTATAATAAGCTATTAAATGTTTATTAAAATACAACTTGTAACAGTAGTCGGGTTCTTGGTATTAGGCTTAAATAATAATATCAGTTCAAGTTCAGATATATAATTCAGAGGCAATTTATTGACAAAGATTTTAATTTTTAGGTACAATAAATAATTTATGCATGATGTACTTACAGTATCAGTTAAAGAAGAAATATAAGTATTAAGTAGGTATTTTAGGTATCTATTTTAGATTCTGATTGGAGCGATGATTGTGTTGATTTTGCAATGATGAAATATTTTATTTTATTTTTGTGCCATCATATTTTGGTGCAGTAAAAATGCCTAACAGCTTTTCTACTTCAACATTAAAAAGAATCTTGTTAGTACTTTGGAGGGTCAAAAGTAAAAAATTCCCAGAACTTTTCAAAAACATCAAGAAAAATAAACCAACAATTAAGGAAAAACTAAGATTTTATGCAAAACAATTTTTAGAAAAAATCAATTTTGTGCTTTGGTGTAACTCTAAAAAATAAACTTAAATACATTAAAATGTTCGAAATATTTTGGAATTTTTTTAATCTATTTAATATTTATGAACATAAGAAAATGTTGTCGTAATATAAAATCAAATCTATGGTAGGTTGTTATGGTACTTACAATCTATGGGTATAGTACCTACAAAGTTATAATTTGTAATCATATTATATCATCATTAATAATGTATCAATAATATTCTATCCTTTGGTAATATTGATATTTATACATTATTATAGGCAGGTAAGTATAAACATACTTAGTATATGTAATTCATTGTTTACATAATTTTATACTTGATAGTTAATAGTATAATAATATAAACAATTTGATAGATACTCTTATTCGGTATTACAGTATAAAATTGAAAATTATTATCCCAAATTTTTTTTTTTATCATTTGTTTATATGATGCTCCCTAAATTTATGGGTGCCCCCGAGCACTTGTCCCCTTTGCCCCCCCCCCCTTAGTACGACTATGATTATATTGTAAATAAAAAATTTAGTATTAAGGTATACAACTTTTGTTCCTAAATTAAATATTATGTTTACAATTTTCACATAATTGCACACTTCAATAGAATTTTATTTAGTTATTTGTGTCATAAAGTTACCAGCAATGTTCCAAAATGAATCACATCCAATTGTCAGAACACTGAATTTCCAAACTTGTTATGTGTCCTTTGAAATTTAAATATGTTCAGATGC